TGTTATGTGATGGACATTTGGCTTTAACAAATATCCCTTTCTGTAACAGATATCCCTTCCCCCCAGTCAGTCCATTAAATTGTGGGTTCAGCATGTACTGGGCAGGCTGGTTATGTAGAGCACAAGAGGGCAAAGTTAATCTAAGTAGCCAAATCAAAAGCATTAGGGAATCTAAACACAACTCAAAGCTAACTGTTGTAGTCTGGGGTGGACAAGGGCCACACTTAACATTTTTTGTGTAGCAGAGCTGTAAAATCAGTGGTTGCCTACAGCATCACATGTAAGAAAAAGAAACAAAAAAGTTTTCCACGTAATAACAAGATAAATTATCATGTATTTTGTAAATGGTTACTTATAAGCTGATTTCATTTCAGGGCTTAAAGCTGAAAATTTCAAGGATATTGGAGCTCAACATCCCTATGTGTGGTATAAATGCAGGTGTAAGTTCCAAAACGAATTACTGTTTATCTTTTCCTTTCAGTTTTATGTGACTGTATGTACTTAAGCAATTACCTTTTAGTTCTAACACGAATTATCTCAACCTCCCTCAATCTGAGATCCGCCAGATGTGTTAAGATCCCTACTCTATCAATTGCATTTCCAACATATCTGCAGACACTATAGTGGGGAATGCTGGATTAGCTTCAAACCCTATAGCCCAGCATGCAATCTCACACAGTGACTGAAGTATAAAGCTATCCCTTCTTTTCCCAATTCCAGTATTTTTACTGGATCTCAGCTAGTCTTCTAGAAACTGCTACCCTTCAGACATGATGGACTTGAAGTCATAAATTGAATTTACAAATTGTGCCACGCTCTAATGTGGTTTATTACTTTTGGCTTAACATAGGGACACTCCAACTGTACATCATGGCCCCCGGGAGGCCCATCAAACTAGATGATGATAATGTCTGTTACCTCTTCAACCTCTTCTCCAACTATGTGCACTGGATTGGCATTGCCTATTGATATAAATGTTTTCATTTATATTAATATACAAAGGCTGGCTTTTGTATTCTCTTCTTTTAGTTTCAACAGGAGATTCCTTAACTCTTCCTTGCTTCTAGTCATCAAGTGGTATCATCAACATATCTGAGGTTGTTAATGTTTCTTCAAGCAATTTTAATTTCAATGCCTATTGCTTCTCATGATATACTTTATATGTAAGTTAAATAAATAGGTTAACAGCATAAAACCTAGGCTCACTGCTTTCTCGATTTTGAAGTATTTGGTTGCTCCATATTCCATTCTAACTGCTGCTTCCTGGTCATCATACAAATTGTTCAATGGGCTGATGAGATGGCCTGGTACATTCATGCTTTTAAGGGCTATCCACAGTGTGTTGTGGTCTGTACAGTCAAAAGCCTTCACATAATCAATTAAGCAGAAATAAATATCCTTTTGACACTCCCTTGCCCTTCCATTATCTGTTGAGTGCTAGGAACAGTGGATCTCTTATGCCTCTGTGCCTCTTCTGAATCCAGCTGGTATGTCTGCTAATTCTCATTCCATGTGTTGTTGAAATTGGATTGCAAAATCCTGAGGATTATCTTAGGAGCATGTAAGATAAGTGCAAGTGTTCAGTAGTTTGAGCATTTCTTAACACTGCCCTTTTTGACACTGGAATACAGTATAAATCAATCTTTTCTAGTCCTCTGACAACTGCTGCATTTTCTATGTAAGCTTACAAACCACGTGCAGCACCTTGTAATATTTTAAACAATTCTTCTGGTATTTCATCAACATGCTGGTATCTTTCACCTGCAGCTTTGTTCTTAGCAATCTTTCCTAGGGCTCTAAAATGTCGGGCTCTAGCTCCATGTCCAAATTATGATATGCATCCTTGACTTGGGGATCCTTCTGTACAGTTCTTCTATATAATGGCAACATCTCTTCTTAATAGCATCCTCTCCCATAAATATTTGCAACGCTGTATTGGTATTAGACTACTACAAAGAGCATATATTCATAAATGTTAAATATGAAACACAAAGAGAGTGTGTCTCGAAAATAAAACCCAGATTTTTGCAATCTGCAGAAATTTATCCTTCCCATTAAAAATATGGTTTAAATTTGTTTGGTTTTTTTTTTAACTTACAATGAATAGTTTTATTTAATAACATTGAGAAGCCCTAGTATTGCTTTGCTTGACACTTAGATTAAAATGTAATTAAAGTAAGTGGGTATGATACTTTTGTTTAAAGAGACTGCCATACACTTTTACACATGAAAGCATGACCTCCTGATGTGATCAAGAATTGCTCTCTTTTTAAAAGTAGGCTGAATTACATATGCCATTAGCACTGCAAGACAGTGTCAAGTAACAAACCAACCTGATGGCCTGCCTCAGGATGAAAAGGGAAAAACATACACGTTTAGCATAAGTCATAAAGTCCCATCTCAGCCATCTGACAGCTTTAAGCAAGCCCCTCTTGCTTCAAGTTTCTCTAACTATACTAAGGGATAACTTTGACCTACAATACTGTATTTTCTAATAATTATCAGAAACATGGGGACAGTGTTTTTATCATTTAGGATTATGGCTGTGAAATTACACATACCCATGCAGATCTATATGCATTGGCTTTTGGAGATCACACTGCCAGAGTTACAGGGTTTTTTTCCATTTTATAGCTCATGCTGTAGCCTGTTCAAAACGTGACTTGCCCAAAGAAATTCAGGCCAAAAATCAAATCATTGCAAAACTATCCAGCAGAGTACTGACAACCAATGCAAAGCAAAATCTTTTTATGGCATTAATCTATTTTCCAAAAGAAGAGGTCTGTCATTCAGATCATTTATTAGAGTCACATCCTTCCTTTCATCCAGAAGCTCCACAGCATTTCCTCCTCCAATTTGTTCCCAAAATACAAGGTAGACTGTGAGAAAGTAGCTAGCCTCAGATCTCTCAAGTGAGCTGCCAAGGTTGGAACTGAACCTAAATCTTAGCCCATCATCTTAAATAATATATGGTACTGACCCACCACTTCAGAAGGCGCTGTAAAAATCCGGACGACCACTCATTTGCACGTGAACACTTATAGAAAAATCTCTGCTGTCCTCGAGTGGTCATCCTATTGCCTGCCCTCCAGACCTGCTAGCCCTACCCAACGCTATACAAAAGCGATATATTCACTATTAGACGTGCCAAGTTTATAATACCTATCTGGACCCAAACCCCAATAACCCCGATAAAACCTATACTGGGGTACCACAGGTTCTCCTTAAGGAAGAAGAGACTCTCAAAAGAAAAACAATCCGGTTTGGGGAGCAACTAAAACTCTCCCCCCGCCAGGCTCTACGACGTCTTTCACTTACCGCCTCCATGACCGTCGTCGCTGCCTCCCCGCGCCGGCCTCAGAGAAAGGGAGGCAGCTTCCCCGCTGTTGCCGCCCCAGCGTGAAACTCAACTTCCGCCTTGAGGCCCGACTGCCCTCAGTTCCGCCAATAACGGCGATCACGTGAGCGGAAGTGGGCGCAAGGAAGAGGAAGGAACGCTACCGCTTTGTGTGGAGACGTGGAGAGGTTGTCTTCGGCCGCCTCTATCATTTCGTGTCCCCGCGGCGCGGACAATTGCTCATTCACATTAAATCAGGATAAAGTGATGCGCACAACCGCGCCAGCAAAACCTGTCTTCCAGCTCATCTGAAAAGAAAACTAGTTTGCATACTGTGTTTTTTTTTCATACGATACAAACCTTGTATCGAAAAGGACTGTAGCCTTTTAGAGCTGTCCTATGCACGCCCATTAAAAAGATTCACTGGGAAGGATCTTAGTAACCATGCGTACAGGAGCGCAGCCTTACCTGCTATCGGTACTTCACATACCGTTTCTTATACTGTAATGATACTGTTAGGCTTCATTATCCCAGGGACGTAACGGGTGCCAAAAGCTAACACGAAAGTTTCCATATTCATTATAACTCTCAGCGCAGCAAGGAACTTTTTATAACTCTCGGTGCAGTAAAAGGGTGGGCAGACCGCTTGGTACCATGCATGTTGTTTAGCCGTCATTTCGAAGAAGGTCAGATAATAAAGTAGCTGTCATCCAAAAATAGCTGCCAGGTTTTAGCAACGCTCCGTTTTTTCCACCCTCCCGTACACATACAAATTTAGAATGACAATCACTGCCTTTAACTGACACTTCCGTTCTCCCTGCTTACTCCGCTGACTTCCAGCAGAAGCAGAGATCCGAAATGAAGCTGTTGCCAAGCCCGATCATCTCTGTCGAACTGGAACTCTCGTGTGTCCCATTATAATCCGACAGTTCGGAAAGCGGGGAAGACTGGCACAGAGCGACCTCACGATCCCCCAGTGGGACAATTCACACAGACAACTGATGTCGGTGCAAATAGGGCAGCTTTCTCCAGAACGAATCCACAAATGCACCAGATTGCCCGAATTTGCAAATAGTGAACCGCATCAAAATAAAGACATAGATTAAACAATTAACTCCAGAGTCGTCGCCCACACAAGGTCTGGCTCTGATTGCTTTAGATCACTTCTTCCTTATCAGCCTAGACACCGAGCCGTGATAGTCTACGGTAGCAAACATCAGAAACAGTCTGGTAGCACACTAACGAATTTGATTCCACGGGATATTTTTTTCTGAGCCGCGGTTCAATGCATCAGATGCTATTATACGGACACGGATCACCATACCGATCAGATGAAATGAGCTGCAGCTCACGAAAGCGTATCCCTTGCAATAACATGCGTTACAGCCTAGTTATGTTGGGGTGCGAGGAGAGTACCGTACTGGGCTGCTGTGAATCTGAGTGAGGATGTGGGTAATGGATTGATGAGTCAGTCGCTGAACGCGGATGCAGCCTCTACCTTCATTTCGGGAGGGAAAATGGTTCCGCCCCGAGGTATTTCGGTGAAGATCGAGCCGCAAATAGAACTGAATAAGGAAATACAAACACAAACTAGGAGTGAGCTGAGCGTTGCGTCGCCGGCAGTTTCCACGCCCACGAGCGGAACAAAGAATTACATGTTTGAAACCAGACAGATTAGGGGATCCGCCTCCTTGCTTGGAAGGATTTACTGTACAGTACTCCACGCGCAATCAATGAGCTACCATCCAAAGTCTCCTAAACGGCTTTTGCTCCGGAACGGACGTGGCTAAAACTGCGTCCAGCCCCAGCCCCAGCCCGAAGACGGTCCGGCGAGGGAGCAAGGAAAGGGCGTGTTGAGCCTCGGATTGACCTCCGGCTGATCGGAGCTCCGTAGCGGACCGTGAGTGAAGGGCTGGCTCGGCGCCCGTTGGGTGGCAGCTCGCTTCTCTGCCCAGGTCGGAGGCGGCGAAGGGGGCAGACCAACGCGCTCTTCAATTTCTGCTCCGGCTGTGATGGCGTTACTGTGGCGTGGCCGGCGGCTGGCTTTACCGCCTCCGGTGCCGGGAAGGGGAGGGCGCCGCAGCCCCCTGAGGGCGCGAGATGGGCTCTGCCGGGGCTGCGCCTGCCCGCCCTCTGCTCCCGGCGCAGAGATGGTGGGCGCTGCGCAGGGAGGCAAGCCGGAGCGGCGGCACGAGGGAAGGAGCCTCTTCCGTGCCTTCGAGCCCCGGGGAGCCGGGAACAGCAGCTTCTCAGGGAGTTTCCTGTTTCCTGCTGCTGCTGCTCGCCTGAGCCTCCGTGAAGAGGACAGGCAGGCCGCTGCCCAGAGGCGGGGAAGATGCTTTAGGAGGCCGTGTGGCCCTTCAGACGCCGCTCTCCCGCAGCCAGGCCCCGCTCCCAGCTGCTTATTGGCCTCCTGACGTGGAGCCTTTCTTTGCTCGCACCCAACCGCAGCGCGGATCCCCGCCGGCTTTGGCCCCAGCGAGGGGATGGGAAGGTGCTTGCAGCCCTTTCCTCGGGTGCCCAAATGTGGTGATCCGGCCCTGGGATGTAGGCTTAGTTGGGGGTTAATGAACACGGAGTTGCCCACACCCCGTTTTTAAAAGTTGACCCTCGGGAATCGGTGGCTGCATATTGTCTGGAGACTGAAGGAGAAACAGAGAGACTGCTCAGACTTTCACTCTCAGTGGTGAAGCTAACCGGGTGGCCTTCAGCTAGTTACTATCCACTGGCCTTTCCTTCTTCACATGGTTATTGGGGGGGAATGATTTAGCCTTGAGCTGCTTATGGGGGGGAAGGTGGGGAAGTTAAATATAAATATCAAAAATAAGGATACACAGTTAAGCCATAATACCAATCTGGTGGCCCCAGATGTGTTGGAATTCAAAGACTATAATCCCCAGCCAGCATGACCAAAGGGATGCCAATGTTGAGGAGTGGCTGGAAGAGTCTGTACAATCTGAAGTGGATGATCCAGGGTGCATTAGCCAGGGTAAGCAGATTTCAGATTGGCAGGACATTTCTTTCCCTCTTCTTTCCTTTTTTTAACTTGCAGTTAGGGTTTTGGGACCCAACAGTCGGAGTCAGGTAGAAAAGCCATGAGTTTTAAATTAAGGAATTCTGAACCCAAGACTTTGTTCTGAGTAGCAGAAGAAAATGGAGTTCTTGGCAAAAATCAATTCCCAGTTATTCCAATCTTTCTTCATTTCAGCTGTACAGTTTTAAGATGAAAACAGGAGAATTACTTTATGGTTGAAGTTATTAAACAGGGAGCTTGGAAAATCTTATCAGTTGAGGGCAAATCGTCCAGAGATTAACAGTCGATTCCTACATAACTTCTGTCCCCCTCTTTGTAACAGGTAGATTCTCCTTTTGCTATTATATATTTATAAACCTAGAGAAAAAATGTAGTAACTCAAAAGTAAATCACTTTACTCAGCAAATCTTATTACCCCATCAAACTGGGAAGCCAAGCTCTTCAATATAAAACTATTATTATTCCTTTATTTTCTTTTGGTACTTCTTTTCTTTTTTCCTAATGTTGTTTTGTGTTTTTTTTTTCTTTTTCTGATTTGCATTCAATTAATAAAGGCAAAATACATAAATGTATTGCCTCATCTATCCCCAACAAGGAAATTGTCAAATTTCATTTTGCAATATTATTTTTCTGTTTGGTTAATAAAAACTCCCACACCCTGATGTTGACTCTTGGTGATATCATCCATGTTTTTGGCAGCAGTACAAAAGTGATTTACCACTAGCATCTTCCAGGATATTTTTTCAGCTTCCCAATATATCCTGCAGACATAGGGTTTCCTGGTGGTTTCCCATCCAAGCTCTAACCAGGTGTGATCCTGCTTAGATTCTGGGGGGTGGGAGAGATCAGCCAAAAAGGGCTGGATGTTGCCACCTGTTCAGTCCCTTCACTCTATTTAATGTATATTTTATAATGGGATTGGGTGTGCTTTCCCACAAAAAAGAGATGGGACATTTCTGGACAATGCACTTTCTGCTACTGCATCTATGTATCTTTCATACATGTATCTTTCAGGCTGAAGTGCCAATTGAAAGAAAAACTATCCATTTCTCCCATTTGTGATAGAAATCAGGTCAGAATCCCAAGGCTTCTGTTGTTATCATTTTTGCAGAACAAAAAGTAGAAACTAAAATATAATAATAACACAGAGTTGAAAGAAAAAAGAAAACAAATCTCAGGGCTTCTGCTGTGTTAAGGTAAACACAATTTTGTGAAATGGACATTGCTGGAATAATTTTCCAGATCTCCTTGGTGGAAAGTATTGGCTCAGTATTTCTAGTGCTGCGCAATGGACATGTAAAGTCTGAGTAAATATGCATAAGACTGAACTCTTAATCTGGGAGTCTCTCCCTCCACCCCCAACTCCCTGCCATCTCCAGATAGCATGATGTGGTTTGATTTGGTTCATATTTAGCAGTTAAACTGGAGTCAGAGAGTGTTATATTGATGCAATTTAATAACAAATGTTCAGTCTACATGTATGTGTGTGGGAGTCTATATGTGTATGTACTAGTGCTCTTGCTGTACAGTCCTATGAATATTTACTTTCAAATATAGCTTGTTTTGTTTGATGGAGCTTACTTCCTTTGGTGTTTTTTTTTTATATTTTACATAAAGTAAAAAAACAAATCTAAAGAAAAAGATAGAAAGGAAAGAAGAAAGAAGTGCAAGAAAAGAAAAAAGAGAAAAACAACATAGTTATGAAATATAATGACTTCTGACTTTCTCTTCAACAGATATTAACAAACCTATTGTCTCCCCTCCCTCTTAACTCTTCCAGAAATCTCTTCAGCCCCTTATTTAATTCTCATCTGTTTCAATCATTACATCTGTAAATCATCATTTCACTTTTTTCTTCTTTTAGCAAAAAGTCCATAAAAGTTTTCCAGTCATTTAAAAAAGCCCTTGTTTTCTCCCTGACCAAACAGATCAATTCTGCCATTTCTGCTAACTCTGACATTTTTACGATCCATTCCTCCATTGTGGGAATTTCAATACTCTTTCATCTTTGTGCACATAATAACCTTGCTGCTGTTACCATATACAGAACTAATCTTCTGCGAGTCTTTTCTAATTCAGTATCCATAAGTCCCAATAAAAAAAGTTCCGGGGAGCTTATTTCCTTTGTATGAAAAACAGTTGCTTTATTCGTGTTTTCATCTGGCCTTTCTCCAAGAGGCTCAGAACAGCATGCCATTCTGCGAGGTAGGCTAGGCTGGGGGAAAGCAATGATCCAGCCTGGAAATTTTGTGGTAGACTGGAGATTTTGACCTAAACGAACCTCATCGCACTCTCTAACTTACAGTTTAAGCGTGCGCAACTTTCTTCAGCCTATTGCAGTTGTAGTAGCTGTTGTTATTATGATGGTGATGGTTCTTGGAGCCATGTCTATGGTATGGGGGTGTCACTGGGAGCAAAGCTGAACATTTTTGTTTTGTTTTTCTCTTTACAAGCTAAACAGGTAAAGACAACATACTTAATTACCAGTGGGAGGCAAAAATGTCATTAAAAATGAGCAGTTTTGCCACTAAATTTTGGCATGTGATCTTGGGCTATTTTAAGGGCAATTTTCTGTCGCAATCCCAGCACTGCAACACGCAAGCTCTCAGCATCCATGCCATCCCCCGTCTGGATACTGTTCCTCAGCCAAGGTAGGGTTTCATTTTCTGTGTATTTTCCTACCCAAACCTTTCCCTTTCTCTTCCCTCTGTATAGAACATGGCAGTTCTTCTGAGGAGCCTTCTGGCTGCCTCAGAGAAAGCCGCCCGCATTGCCCAGCTATGTCGCCAAGAGGAGGCCCTCTTCAGCCTGCTCATCGAGGAGAAAAGAGGTGTGGACAAGAATAAGAAGTTCTTACAGGACTTCAAGACTTTGGCTGACGTGCTGATCCAAGAAGTCATCAAGCATGACGTGGGAAAAGAGGTATCTTCTTAGGGAAGGGTTCCCTATGTCATGAGAAATGTAATAAGGTGTTGTATAGGAGATTGGGCTGGATCCTAGAGAATTTAAACTCTTTTCCTCTCCATTCTCACTGAAAGGAGCTCTTCTACTTACTCTAAACTGTTATATTCTAAAGACAAAACCTGCAGTGGAAAGCAGTAACTCAACCTATTGCATTTGCAAAAGTAGGAGCAGACATGGACTCAGGATGGACCTTCATCTATCATCCATTTGAATAATACATTCAGTTTTATATGGTTGAGTGTGATAGCTATTCTCATGTATCCCAGACTCTTCACACATCATTTCTTAGTCCCCAAATAAACATGTAAAGTGGACCTGCATTATTCTTCTCCTATGGGGTAAAGGTAGTAAAGACTTAGAGATGCTGGTTTGCTTAAGAGAATATTATAAATTCATGGTTGAGGTAAAATGGTTATAGAGGAGTTTCAGCCCTTGCTCACTTTGGAGTGAGTTGCCATGGGTAGGGCTCTAAACTGCCTGGGACTGATGCAACATGCAGCTGTCTCCTTCTCATCCAGGGGATCAACCTGGAATGGGACACGGCAGAATCACTGAGCCCAGAATAGCTGTAGCCTGGATCAGGCATGTCAGCCTGGTTAAGGTGTGTCTTCCTCTCTCTCCCCTCAGTACCATTTTCTCTTTTCCCTACTTACCCTTTCTCACTGTTGTTCTCAGTTTCCAGAACTACAAGATCACATTTGTGGTGAGGAGTCCAACAAATTTGAAAATGGACTTGGTGAGTAATGGGCATGGAGAGGAGAAAGTACCAGCCTATCCTCTGAAATAACTTTCCCCAACTGGACTCCTTCCAAATGTGTGGGATTGAAATTCCCACCTGGCACACTGGCTATGAATTCTGGGAGTTCTTGTCCCAATACCTCTAGAGGGAGCTAGATTGGGGCAGGTTGTCCTTCTGACATGCTTTATCTTCTTTTCGATTAATCGAGTCATTCTCCTGCTTCCAGCTCCCATTTTCTTCAGAGAAATATTTCCATGACCTGTTCCAGGCTTACTTTGATGGCCTCTTGCAAATTTCATCCCTGCAAAGATGTCTGCTCTTTACAAGAATTCCTGTACATTGCAAAGAGCCTTGGGGAAAAAGTTTTAGGGAGACTTTCCATTCAGGAAGAGCACTGCCAGACATATTGGAGTTTCATGTGAAGGAGGAACATGCCCTAAAATGCTAGGTCTTATACTAAATGTACAGTCAAAGGCCTTGTGCCAGGAATTTTTTTCCTTCTAATGTATGGCCATTTCCCTATTTTTTTCCCTAAGGCAGTCTTCCCCATGTTAGTGCCCTTCAGATGAATTAGAGTGCTACAACCGCCATTATTCACTCACAGACAATATGCCCAGTGCCTGTATTAGGTGGGGCAATTAGTAGTGGTAAGGTAATATTTTTTAGAGGTGCCAAGTTGAAGATTGTCCTATAAGGGCAAAAAAAGGACAGGGCTCCTGTATGTTTTAGCTCTGCAGAAGAAGGACTTATCAAATGTAATGGCACTGTATGTGAGAATGATCTTGGGAGATGGGGGGAAGAGATGCTGCCTAGGGAATTATCAGATAAGAGAGGACATAGCCCGCAGCTACATAATGGAAAGAGAAAAAAAACTCAGAAAGGAACCTCCCTAACTTCTCAGGCTGTAAAAGAAATGGCAGGAGATTTGTACTATCAGACTTACAAGATTCTGTTAATGTAGCCTTACAATAAAGTAGAATAAGCTCAACTGGTTGTGTTTCCTATCTGATCTCCCTGGCAAAACTGACATCAATAGATTCGTCTTTTGTATTACTGAGAAATACTGCACCTCCCAATGTTCCTTTTTGTAAGTGCCTGTTAGAAGAACAGAAATCCTGTGTTCTATTACATCTGATTGCCCCATTTTTTTTTAAAGTAATTCCTCAAAAAAACTAAAGATAAATATTGCAGAGATCTTATTGATGTGAACCACCTTGGGCTAGAGTATTGTATAACCCATTTGTAAATTGAGATCAACTAGCTAGAAACAAGTATCCTACAACTCACCCAATCTTTCTCTGTGTAAGCTGTAGTAGCACAGGTTGTGGTGGAAGAGAACAAGGCAATTTCCCCATCATTATGGGCTTTCTTACAGAGTCTCTGATAAGCTTCCAATGAAACTTAAAAGTTCCTCTGAGCACAGTCTGAAAAGTGTGGCATTAAATAATTCTCATTGCTTGCCCAACATATAAGGGTCTTTGAGAATAAATGTGTTCCCTGAAAGATCCCCTCGATCAGTAGTGGCAAGACCCAAGGGAGAGACCCTCTTGAACATTCTCTGAACTTTATTTGCCTTTGCAGGGGAGATTGTGGTGGTGCGGGTTTGCCCCACCCAGCAGGAAACTGCTGCCCTGCTGCAGAAAGTCCTGGATCGGAAACAGACGGCAGCTGAGTTGTTGGCAGCCGCTGTTCATCAGGAAGTGGTGCTTTCGGACCCAGCATTGGACAATGTGGCTGTGACTATCTCAACAGAGAGCCTGGCCGTATGGATCGACCCCATCGGTAATAGAATGGAAGATGAAGGTTGGGCAATAGTGTCAGGTCTAGCCCAATGAACTCCAAGAGATGATGCAAATTCAGTTCCACTGTGTTTATTAGCTACAACCTCCAGACAGAAATCTCCCCAGATTGAAACCTAGCCCCCAAGCCAGCCAGCCACAACACCGTGAATTCCTCAGGGAGGTGCCAGCCTCATCCTCTTGAACTTCCCACGCTCCTCCAG